TTTAATTTGTTTGAACAGCCTATTTTCAGCAATTTACTGACCGAAAAGTAATTTATATGATTATTTCACTGACCGGTCTGTAAATTACGCAATAAATTTCAAATGTTTTATTTTTTGGATTCCATGATTCTTTAAATCATATTCACATAGTATAATTATAATATCACCCCAAATTTTGTTCTCCAAAACTAAAAAAATAATATAAAACCCTTCAGCTATAAAATAGATGATTCTGGACAATCGCGACAAATTTTTTAAAATAAAATTTTGGTTTTTATTTTCTAATAGTTTTTCCATCACTATGAAAAATTTCAAGTCAAAAGTAATAACCATTCAAAAGTTATTCAAAAGTCAGTATGACCCCAAAAATATAGAAATTAGTAAAAACTCTCAGTCTGTAAAATAGGTGATCCTAGTAGATCCTGACAGATTTAAAAAAAAAAAAAAATGGAATTTTATTTTTTTATAGTTAATTGGTCACTATGGAAAATTTCAAGTCAAATGTATCATCGATTCAAAAGTTATTCAAATGTCAATAATAATCTCATTTTTGGTGCCATTTCGCAGTAAATTTTCCATTCTTAAGCCCTATACCTTTTGTCAAAAAATCACCCGTTTTTTCACTACAAAAAGGTCAATAACTTTTGATCCGCTTAACTTCAAAGGCTAAATGACCCCTCATTTTTTAAGTCAAACCTTTACAATGACATCAATTATATAATATTTTAATTATAAAACAATTGTCTGGAATGGCTACTTATACGAAAAACTAACTATTTTATTGAATAAAAATCCTTAAGTATTATTAAACAAAAAAAACGAACTAATATCTAAATGTCGCCATGAGAACAAGTTTTAGCTAGACAACCACAAACCAAAAGTATAGATTTTTTAACTCATTTTCTTTTGTACAGATTTATTATTTTTATGAGAAAAAAAACATATTTACCCCTGATGATTGCATTTAGCATGAAACTAATAGTTGTGAAAAATATGCAGTTTTATTTATAAATAGTATATGTAAATACAGCTCTGTTTTAATTTAAATCATTTTAATTTACTTAAATTCATCGAGCACTCTCGCGAAGATATATGCAAGCACAAATACGTATACAAATTAGGCGCTTCATGAAAGAGGTGATTGGTAAAAAAAAACATAAGCACTAATGGTTTTCCCGAAAAACTCATTATAAATAGTTGTGAAACTACTAATGACTTTTTAATCGCTAATTCTTTCAATTATGCGTTTGTTAATACGATACCAAGTTTGGCCTCTAATATAAAAATTAGTAAAATTATCTTTGAATCATACTTAACTTCTAATAATAATCATATGAAAAATAATAAGTTATCTAAAAAAAAACGACTTGATGCTGTAAATTTATTAAAACCAAATAAAGGTAATGGAGTTGATGATATAAGTAGCAATATAATAATTAAATCAATATTTTAATTAAAAACTCCGCTTCTGCACATTTTCAGTCTTTCATTAGAACAAGGAATCTTTCCTGATAAACTAAAGGTTGCAAGGGTGATGCCGGTTCTAAAATCTGGAGATGCAACATGTATTGCAAATTATAGACCCATTTCAATACTACCATGCTTTTCAAAAATATTAGAACATACTATGTATAAAAGACTCTACTATTTCTTAGATAATAGTAACATTCTTTATAATAAATAATTTGGATTCAAAAATGATCACTCTACTGATCAGGCATATGTTCATCTTGTTCATGATATTCTTAAATCTTTTGATGAAAATAAATATACTTTAGGCGTATTTATTGATCTCAGCTTTTGATACTGTAAATCATCATTTTTTATTCACCAAATTAAAAAAATTTGGTATTAAACACTCGAACCTTAAATGATTTAAAGGCTATCTGTCAAATAGACAGAAATATATTTCTCTTAATTACGGAAAAACTTACAACATAAATATATTTTGTGGAGTACCACAAGGATCTATACTAAAACCACTCATATTTCTAGTATATGTTAATGATCTAAGCAAATCTTGTAATGTATTAGACGCAATCTTGTTTGCAGATGATACTAATCTATTTTATGCTTACAATGATATAAAAATGTTATTTAAAACTGTAAACACAGAACTACTATACCCTGCTGAATGGTTTAAAGCTAAACAATTATCTCTAAATTTAACTAAAACAAAATATACTTTTTTCCATCGCTATCATGAATGAGACAAAATTCCATTAAAACTTCCAAGTCTTTGTATTAACAATTGCGAAATAAGAAGAGAGGTATCATTAAAATTTCTAGGAGTATTCCTCGACGAAAAAATGTAACATGGAGAATTCATATAAAGTATATTGAAGGTAAAATATTAAGTGGCATTGGCCTACTCTATAGGGTAAAACCTTTTTTGAATTCAAGTTGTTTAAAGCTCTTATATTTTTCTTTTATTCATTTCTATTTTAAGTACGCTAATATTGCATGGTGTAGTACTAACAAAAACAAATCAAAAAAACTCTTTAATATGCAAAGACATGCAATCAAAATTATATCTAATAAAAACCGCAGTACACCCTCCCAATTATTATTTAACAAGTTAAATATACTTAATATCTACCACATAATTAATTATCATTTTCTAATTTTTATGTTCAAAATTAATAAAAGTATTATTCAAAAAACTTTTGATCTCTTATTCAAAACTAATCAGAATAAATACTTAAATAGACATTCAAGTAACACCTACATACAACCCATAAGTTATAATGCGGCAACTGAGTTTTCAATTTCAATTAGAGGACCAAAGGCATGGAATAAAATACTAACTTTACTTAAAATAAAATTTAACTTAACTTAAAATTTTACATAGTTAAAAGAATTTAAGAATTTATAATATTAGAAACGCTTGAGTTAAATGCATTTTTGACTTTTCAAATTTATTTATGTTTTTGTAGTTTTAACATGCAATGTTGTTCTTTTTACTTTTTATTTTTTGCTCCTTAATAATATGTTTTATTTCTCACTTTACCAATTTTACGTTTGTTTATTTTATATTGTCAACGAAAATGCTTATTTTTAAATTAAACTTATTTACGGAATTTATTAAGGGGCTTGGCGATAAGACATATTAGTCTTCTTCTCGATCCTGCTACATATATATCTTGTTATTAAGATACAGTTTGTATATAATAACACGGCAAAAAAAAATATATTTATATATATGTATATATATATATATATATATATATATATATATATATATATATATATATATATATATATATATATATATATATATATATATATAAAAAAGAAATTCCTTTAGAAATTATACGTTTATTATAAACAACCTTAGCACACTTACCTTTTTTGTCTTACAGCATAAGGTATCGTGGTTTATCCTCACATGTCACATTACCTAGGCCCGCAAAGACAAGTTCATATTCCCTAGAATCGCCACAACCCGTTCTACGGACCAAGAACAAGATGAGAGTGCAAAGAACGAAGATTTTTTAGAGTAAAAATTGGAAGTAGCCGTGTTAGAAAGATGGCTTAAAGAAAACATACAGATATTGCACACGATGTTAGAAGGTGCAAACATCATAAGCAATTTGATGAATTAACATTGCTTATGAGATATGTGTTTTTGTCTTATAGCATATATGCCTATAAGCATACTTACAGTGTATTTCCCGTCTTACTTTTACTGTCTATGTCCCGACAAGAAACTTTCATGTTGGCTATATATGGGACTTGCATATTAACCATATATTTACCACTCTCCTTAATTATATCTAAAATATTCGTTTTGTATTAGTTCTGTAGACAAAACTAATCTTATGAATCATGCAATGATGACGCAATATTTTTCTCAAGTTCTTTATCTAGCGCTCTTACAATGTTTTAGAACAGTAGCTAAAGATGGTTTAATACGAAATCAAAACAAAATCAATAGAAAAAAAAATCAATAGTAACAAAAGCTTGCTCACACTGCCCGCTGTTTTAAAATCTAACGTTGTTTTCTGGTAGCAAACCAACGTTGTCGATATTTTTTTTCTAATGAGCCAATACAGGTTTTGCGTTTTTTGTAAAAACAAAATCTGAGTTATTTAAATTTATTTAAACCATTTATACTCGTTTTCCTATAATAGTTTTCGATAGATAAATAATTTATTATGTTTATTATATTAAATAATTATTTTTAATGTATAATAGAAAAATTTGCTATGACCTATCACTATTAAAAAACAAATTCAATATTTAAGCACTTATAATATTCTCGTTAGGATTTTATAAAAAACTCGAAAGATTTACTGACTAGAATTTAGTTTTAATCACACAACGTATTAAAATATTCATATTTTAATACTTTTGCACTGATTCCTTTTAACTTTATAGGAATAATACTATATGGGTCACTTTGCACAATATCATTGAATGGCAAATGTTGTAATGGCCCCCCCCCCCCCCACGTAACACTTACTCGCGCCGGTCCTGGCAACAATTCTTTTTTGCTTGAACATGTTTAGTTTTATAGAAAAAACAGGGCAATAGTTGTTTACACCATTTTTCCCCCCTCTTTTAAATCTCGTCGTTATTTTGGTAACTTTAAGTTAATCTGAGAAAATTTGCTGTCTGATTAACTTAAAGTTACCAAAATAAGTGCGCCTGATTTATTTTTAGTTTACCATGATTTCTCACACAATTTGCCAAGTAAGTTTAAAATTGCTTTTTTTTTTCCAATCAGTAGAGTAAAAGCGGGTCAAATAAGTTTTTATTTATCACGGTAAAAAGATTTCAATTTTTTTTTTTTTAAGTTGTAAAGACTTTTGAATTGTATTTAAATATAAAAATCAGATATATCTTCAAAAAAGTTTTTTAAGAAACTTCATTTATTTGGAAAAAAAAAATTTTTTTAATAAGTTTTTTTTATTTAGGTGCCAATTAAATCTTCTTTTCTTATCGATGCTATAAAACTTACCCAGAGGTGGCGTTGAATAATGGATCTCTATTTCTGTGGCAAGCGTACTAACCACTGCACTTCGACTCCTCCTTTTTCGTTCTATTCTACGGCTGCATATTTGCATACACCAAGATTTCCATCTTGCTGAGCGAAAACAAACCAGTCTTTTGAAACCCAGAGTGACTATTAAACTTGAACAGAATATTTTTTTTGCAATTCTCTAAAACATCCTTTTGACAAACTGCTGAACTTTGTCTTTGCACAAAACTCTTAAAGTAATATAATATTATGTCAAATTTTGAATCGCCCCCACCCCTTCTTTAAAAAGAAACTACGCTACAAACTTAGCCAAATTTTTCGTTGTTAAAGCAATGAAACTAAAAAAAAACAAAAATTGTTGACGTCAACTTTAATTGACATCCCCCTCCCCCGTGTCAACAATTGTCAATAAAAAACCCTTCAAACAGCACAGATTACCAAACTTTTATGGGTTTAATATAAAATATACTTTTCACGACTAAATACAATTAAAAGCTGGTGCCACATCATTTTATCACTCTGTGTTGTGATATTAAAAAACTGTATTGTGATATTATAATTCTGTGTTGTGATATTATAACTCTTTGTTGTGATATTATATAGCGTTGATTTGTTTTTTATAGCATTATTTGTTTGTTTTGTATCTAACAAAAACAAGAATGTCTTTCATGGTTGAAGTTATCCAAATTTAATAGTTACTTATTTTTGGACCATAATTTTTTGTATAAATATTTATTTATAAAATTTATATTTAATTCATGACCATTCTTATACGACAAAAAATTGTCTAAAATAACCACTACCAAATTTAAATTAGGAGAACTCTCTGTAAAGAAATTTAAAAAAATTTAATTTTAGAGGAAAGACTTAAATAGATTTTTTAATACTACTTACATTTAATACAAAAATTTGCTGCAATAGCGGGTCCGACTATGTTTACAATGCGTTTGTGCACCTTACCTAAAAGAAAAAGGGCATTGAGATTTATTGAGATAAAGAATAGATTCCTAAATAAGAAGTAGCGAGCACGATAAAGGGATGCAACCCTATCAGATGCTTATGTTGCCATGGATTTGATTTTGTAGTTACCAAGAATATCGGAAATAATTTTTGTATCTTAAAGACAGAAACGTATCGACGGGCCCGCAACCGTAGGAGGGCCCAGACTTATTAGGGGCCTAGGCCATTTTTTTCAAATACATTTAATAACATTTTTACTTTTATTGTATATCTAAGAATTACAAATTCTTAGCTATACAATATGTAACATACTTGTTTCAATTAACTAAATCAAAATTGTATTTAAAAATAACGCCTTTTGTCTTCATGTATAATTTCTTTTTGTTCTGAGGGGGAGGAGAGAGAGAAAAATAATTTAGGATTAAAATTTTAAGGGAAGGCCTATTTTTTGTCGCCAAGACACTGCTTAAAGGCCAAACGAAGATGTACATTGCCGTTCATAATTTTAGGAAGATCTTGATTGTTGTGATAACTGTTAGTTTTATTTGAGTTAAAAATTATCAGCCATGGAGAGGCAGATGGAACTTCTTTATAAAATTAATTATAGATTGGTGCAGGTTAAACATTGTTTATAAAACGCACTAAAAGAAATAGGACGTGACTATTTATACAAATAAAGAATTTTAAAAGCTTATGTCTTATTTAAGTAATGAAAAATGACAGTACCCCTGCAGTAAAATTGAGGCGGTTTTGCTCTTTTCTTATACTGCCGATATTGCTGACTTTAATATTTGAATTAGTTTTAGCAATATAAGTAATTCTAAAACCAGCGGAACTATCAGTAAAAAAAGTTTGAATATCCGCATCAATTTTAGTGCAAAAGTACCGACATTTTTATATACTTAAATTATTACTTAAAGTTATTATCAAATATATCAATTTTAAAATTATTATTATGTTTATTATCTTTGGACGAAATTGTCAACTATCCTAAACTTATTTAATGCTCTGGCATTTTAACATTTGCAAAAAACCGATGTGTTCTGCCAACATGACTTTTAATATATATAAATAATTATAAGAAACTTTTAGAAATAAATATAAGAAATTTTTATTTTTTTAGTAAAATTTTTTTTTAAGTAATCAATATATAAAAAAGTTTAATCGAAAATAAAACTTAATGTCTGATTTACTATTAAGCAAAAGTTATATGAATTTAACTTTCGAACAAAAAAACTCCAAAAAAAATTCTGCAAAGTTTCGAATTTTTTAGTTTCGTTGTCAACGAAAATCTTAAAAAAAATGGCGAATACTTTAAACTTCAAAAATAATTGATATTAGCATAAATGTGATTGTGCGCAGAATATAATTTTATTTTTTTAAATATAAAATTAAATTTCATCAACTTTCAATAAACCTGAAAACTCATGAGTTTATCGTAACCATCATGTATAATAACGAAGGTTGAATATAATAAAGAAATATTGCAGTAAAAAAAGAAAAAATATTGTCAAAAAATATTTATTATTAGTTTAATAAGAAAAAAGGTAATTACCGTAAAAGTATATTTAATCTAATTTTAGTATTTTATATAATTAACACTTTTTGATATTAATTATATTTTAATATTTATAGTAACAAAAGAAAAAATATATTAATATTATAATCAAAATGATCAAAATTCATGATATAATTATGAAAATATAAAAAAAAAGTTTAAAAAAAAAAATTATATATTTAAACAAAGATTAATATCAATTATTATTCTTTATAGTTTAATGTTATTATTATTATTATTAAAAATGTTAAAAAAATAATAATTGAAAAACCATGTACCACAAATATAAATATATATTTAATAGTTTATGTAATTACTATTTTAATTAATTTATTTTAAAAAGATCTAATTATAAATATAAATAATACAATAATATAATATTGAACTTTTTTATTTAAATCTAATATATTTAAATTATTTCGAATATTTAAAGCAAATAAATTTATAAAAAAATAAATTAAATAATTTAATTTTTTATTTTTTTTTTTACTATTTAAAAATACATTAAATATTTCATTTATTATTTTATAATTATTGTTTTTATTTTATATATTTAAATTATTAAACATTTTCCCGCGTTATAAAGTTAATTCATCGAGGTTACGAAAATATTTTCCACGGTACTTGATCTGAAACTTCTTGATGTTCGAACAACGAATCCATTCACAAATGTCTTTAAAGAAATCAATGTCGTCGTGAAGTCGAAGATCTAATTCTTCACAAAGATTAATCCAAGGAAGAAAATTTTTTTTAAAATCTTTTTTTGTTATTAAATAATCTGAGATCCATATCCACAACACTTCAATCTTATTTTTCGGTTTCCATCCTTCGAAATTAATTGGACGAGAAAAGCTGACATTGCGAACATTAGTTAAACATCGAATTAAAAGATTTTTTTCTTCATCACTTAAAATATTTTTATCAACACCTTTTTTAACACGTAACCACTTTAACTTTCTTCCAGATTTTATGTAATAATTTATGAAATAATTATCGCAAGTTTTGTTCATCAACAATTGATTTTATTTCATCAGTGAATGACGATTGACTTTCGTAGAAACATTCGTAGAAAAAATTGAAATCTTCATTAAAACCTTTATTACTTTGAGATAGACGATCTAAAGAAAAATTAAATGTGAAATATAACAATAAACAAATAAATAAAAAACAAAAAATAAAATAATAATCAAAATTGTAATATTATACATATAATATTATTACTTTTCTATATACAAATATAATTAATACACTATAATTAAATAAAAAATTGAATACATTTTCATATTATTAATAAATATATTATATTTATATTATAATATAATAAACATAATTACATTAATAATAAATGAATTATATATAAATCTTAATAAAACTTTTAAACAAAATAACTTCTTAATAAAAATTATAAAAAATATACTAATTTTATTATTTTGAACATAATTTTTATATTAAAAAATTTTATTATAAATGTTGTGTTTATAATTTTTAATAACCAATAGCATACATATATAAAATATATTTTTTCCTAAAAATAACATAAAACAGATTAAAAATATGTTTAACATAGAAAAAATGCTTTATTTATTTATATTGTCATTCAAAATAAATATCATCATTTTTTTATTTAAGAAGATAAAAATGAAAAACCTGTTTTATTTATATGCAAATTTGTATAGAACTCAATGTATTTATAAACCGAATTCCTACAGAACTTGTCCAAATTTAAAATTTACATCGAAAATCTCCTTCGACAATCTTTTTTAAAATAAGTTAATTAAATAAATATGAAAAAACGTCAAAGAGTGAGGGTTCAAATATTTGGTGATTCGATTTCGACGTCGATTTGAAACTTTAAAGAAAATCAATAAAAATTTGCAACTTTTATACAACTTATAAATTAAATTTTGATGCAATTAGCGCTTCTTGAATAAGGCTACAAAATATATATTATTAAAACATAAAAAAAAGCAACTAACGCAGCTAAGAAGAACCAATAATCTATTCAATCAAATTTAAATTTTTATATAAATTATATCGAATGCATGTTTTTTGGATAAACAAATAAAATTTTGTTTTAAAATTTTGTAATTCATGTAACAGTCATTTTAAAGAATATTTTTACTTTCACTATCATTTTATAAAATTAATATTTCTCTTTACGAGTGACCAAATGAACACAAGTTCTAATGAGAAAATTTAACTTACGGTGAGAACATAAAAAAAGCTACTAATGGCAATAGTGTCACAGGAGTATTAAAACTTGGACGAACTGTCGATTTACAAATTATTGAACTATATTGTGGGAATATTTTACATGTTTATTAAATCGAATGAAACGAATAAAATTAAATTCGCTTGAAATTACAGTCTTAGAATAGAATCAGCTTATATCTTGAAATTGTCGTCGTATCGCCTTAAAACAATTCGACTTTAGTTCCAAAACATAAACTTTTTAAATGAAAAGAAAAAATTGATTATAAAACTGAAGTATACTTACAAAATTTAAAAAGTTTTGTTACCAGTGTGAATTTTAATAAACAATGATAACAAAATGATACCGTAAAGCATTTTAAGAAAATAAATTGAAAAGTGAGTTTTATAAATTTAAAGCTCGATCATCGAACTTCAAAAAATCTTTTAATAAATTCGAAAAAAACAGTAAATATTGTTAACAAACTTTTCGCTTATAATATGATTTTGTAACCATCGCAACCGATTTCCAAATGCACGATAGCGGTAGCAGGTTCTTAAAACGAAAAGATTAAAACCGAAAAAACCTTATTATAATTTTACATACAACCTACTTTTTAAAATTGTTATATAATTTTTGTTCCTACAGCCCCGGATCATTGTAACTAAAATGGAAAACACTAAGCCAATAAAAAAAAAAAAAAATTTTATTCAACTGTATTTTTTTATCAACTGCTTTTTAAAAGATATGGTCGTTCGACTAAAAAAAAAAAAAATTAAAAGAGCGCCGATTTAAATGTAAATGTTTTTGATAAGATTGAACTCTTAACAAAAACTTGCTACACTTTTAATTATATTGGCAAATATAAAATTATTTAACTGTTAAAAAAATTATTACACTAAATTGCTGAATAATTATTTTTATTTTATGTAATTAATTATATTTTATATATCAATTACTTTGATATATTATTCACTTTTATTGTAGAATTTTTATTTGTTGTAATAATTCTTAAAATGCCTGCATTCTATTACAAAAAGATAATATATAACTGTTTTCATATGCAGTAAACAACGTTCGTCTAAAGAATTTTTTCATGCTGCAATAAACGACACTTGTTAAAGTGTATGTTCTTGTAAACATGCAAACGTTTGTTTAAAAAAAAAACAGAAAGAAAAACGAACGTCACTTTTCTTTAATTTTGCTTATGCAAACTTTGGCGTTTGTTTAAAATTAATAAAAACGAACGTATTACTTTAGCGTTTTTTTTTTCCAAGTATATATGCGATTGATAGTTTTTTATTTAATATAAAAACACATATTTATAATAAATATAATATTTTTAAAATTACATTTTACAGTGCAGACTTCAAATTTGAATGAATTTGATGCTGTTTTGACTACTATGGAACTGCTATTTGATAAAGACAGACCTAAATTTTAGTTCAAATATTATACTAATTTAATTTATCTTAAACAAAGTGAAGAAAGAATATTTATGCAATTGTTTTGCAAGAAACGATGTATACCACAAGGTGACTCGTAACCTCAACGCCCAACACAAGGACATCTTGACCTTCATAAACAATTGATAAAACTGATAAACAATTTAGTAAAGAATAAAAGAAATCAAAGATTATTAAAATGTAAACTGCAATATTTTTATAAGGGAAATTTTAATCAAAAATTCATATATTTATATGCCCTATATAAAAATATAAAAAATATTAATGTTAGTCTTGCTCTAAACTAAGCAGTTTTTAGTCATTTTAAGGTCCGTTTTTTTGTTTCAAATATGTCATTTGAGGGCAAAGAATGAGTGATTCAATGGCGTTCAAATTTTTTACGAGTTAGTTTAATCATATTTGCTTTAAATATAGATGGTTTGGTTTTTCAAATACCAAAACTTTTTAATGTCTAAGAGATGGTTTCCAATAACAGTAACTATGTCAAACAAGAGTTGTGCATTTAAATTTAAATGAATCGGTTTTTGTTAAAAGGGCGTAAGTCACAAAATTCATTTTTTTCAAAGTATAAAAAAACTTAATATCAAAAAAACTTCTTATTAAAAAGATTTTTGAAAATTAATTTGAAAGTAAAAGTTACTGTTTTATAAAATTGGTAAAGTTTAATAAAGTTTAGTATTTTATTTTTAAACGACTCTTTCGAATTATTTTTGAACAAAAATATTTTAAACCATTCTTTCGAGTAAATTGACATGGTTTAAAAACCGTTATAAATGAATTTAACATCAAAACTTTTTTTAAGTTTTCCATCAAATTATTATTTTTCAACCAGAAGTTTACTTGTAACTTTTTTTGAGAGTATTTTAATATTAGTTTTAATGAAGCATAACAAAAAAGTGCAAAAATATGTTGCATTCTCCACCATACATGACAGAAACCTATTTAGGATGCAAAAAAATAAATATTATCTCCACTGACACACACTTAACATGAAACTATACTCTTGCTTAAATAATACATGGGAGGAAAGGTTTTTAAAATTTTGAAAAACTGTCCCACTCACCCCCTATAAAATTTCGTACCCTACTTTTTATTATTGTTTACTTTCTTTTAGAAAAAACAATTAAATCCTTCCGTGAAAAAACAAAGTTTCCAAATTATTCTTTATAAATGTAATTATAGTAATTCCTTATTTGTAATAACTTTATATTCTTATAATAATTTGACTTTCTTGTTGAAGACGATTTAAAAGTAATTTTAAGCAAAGAAAGAAAATAGACTTTTTATTAAAAACCATATGAAAGTGATTTTAAGATTTTAATAAAATACTTAAATGAATTATTTCAAAAACAAAACATTGAAAAAGACTCTGCAGTCTTTTTTATAATATTTTATTTATTAAAAAAAAAATACTTCGTTTAAGAAAAACTTATTTGTGTTTTACTTTATTTTTTATATATAACTTTGATTTTTTTCAAATAAAAAAAAATTGTTTCTCTTGCTACACTTAACCAAAGATTTGAGAAATTATATGTCTAGATCATGCTTGAAAACAGTCTGTTCGAAAATATCAAATAATAGCCACAAATTCGCTCTTACATAATCAACCACTGAAGGTATTTCCAAATTTTGAAAGCTGACGCTGCGTCTAATTTAAACATTTTCCGATGGAGAATCTGCCAGAACAAAGAGCTGGTCCTGTACAGTTAATACTTAAATAATTTTTAACATTATCTTATCAAATAATAATGTTAATAATGAGTTTATTTATAATATTATGAAATCAAAGGCTAAAAAAACTATTCTTGATTGCAGCTGTATCTGAATTCCCAGCTCTGAGAAATTTAGGAAAATAGAAAATTGAAATATATGTTGCCATCTTTTCCACATTCTTTATCTTCCTTTTGTCTCAAGTTCAGGATTTGCTTTGTCAAATTATAAGGAAGCATGACATTGCGAACTCTTCAGATCAGTAAATACTTACTGCCATAAAACGTGTATGGTTTACTGCCCCAGGCTTGTGAATGTTGAGATGCTTGATTGTTGGTTCCTAAAAAATGAGAGCTAGCTCAGTAAGTTCCTAGTAGTCTCTAGTTCCTGGTAATATTGGATATTGTTTTTATTAATAAATATTTCACATTTATTACATAAACTTGAACATTTTAATGGCTAGAAAAATTAACCTGAAAATATTTGAAAACACCTTCATTAACAAGTGTTATTAAAAGATTTCTTGCCTCATCTGCATGTTCTTTAAACTAAGAATGACAAATCTGTTGCGAATTGAAGTGATCAATAAACTGTGTCATTATCAACATCAACAAAAGTACATTGCCAGGTCTACTGACCTATGGTAACTGCTGACTGATAATGTTCCAAGAATATATCTAAAACTCAATCTAATAAAATTGAAGCCATTAATGAATCGTTTGTTGTATTAGCTCTCAGAGTTCTTTTGTTGAATTATTAAAAAAAATTGTTTACCTTCATTTAGCACAACAAATTATTCCAGTATTGGTAGCAGTAGTGTCAAAGAAAACCATTCTTAGATAATCAGCAATGCCAAACTCGGTCAAAATCTCCTTGATAGCCTAAACCAATTTAATCCTGTATGGGAAGGAACCCATGGAGCACTAAGTAGATGAGTAGTTCCTTCAGCTCTCACAAGGATGCAAATCTTAGCAACTGTTACATCAACATTCATTTATAATTTGGAATCAAATAAATATGTAATAAAAACATTTTCATTGTTATTATTTAACATACTAGTTATAAATAAATATATGCAAACCTTGATTAACTTTCAATCAAAGTGTAACTGAATTTTCATCTTATTTTGTTTGATCTTATTTTAAATAAAAACCTTAATATTATCAGCATCTTTGTTGATGTTATTTTTCAATCAAAAAGCAAAAGTATAAGAAAGAGATATCCAGCTGTGGTGACAGCTGGGGATCTCTTAGGGAAAGCTTAATTAGGGTTACTAATATTTTATGAGCTGTTGTATCCATGCTTATAGTTATTCTCAGTCTCTTCAATCATCTTTATGTTGACAGCAATAGTTTATTTGGGCTTGTCAAGATTTCTTAGTGAAAAAGCCTGTAATTAGTTTCTATTAGAACTATGTACATTCATTTATAACATGTCTAGTATTTGGTTCTAAAAAAAATATTTCAGATGGATGTCCAACTATAGTAACACAAATCATTTTCTGAGTTGGACTGTGTACTTGGTTTTGAAGAAAATATTCCTGATGGATGTACAACATCAGTAACGCACACTTTAGTACCTCTTGAATGATTAAATAAACTTTCACAAAAACTTGTCGATGCTGTAAATTAAGTCTAAACCCATTTATTTCTTCTTTGTTTAATAAAAGATAGTCTCGAGAAGGCTTATCGTGGTTAAAACCTTCTTTCAACTCTTTAACTCCTAAACAAAAACCTTTATAAACAAGGCCTCTGTGCAGAAAAAAAGTTTGTTTATTTGAATTTCTAGTTCAACGTTTAGTTGAAACTTCAGCCACTACCTTCTTTTCTCTAGCCTGCTTTTTCCCATTTCTCATTTACATTTTAAATTAAATAGAATAATACTTATAAATTTAAAATAAATTAATACATAAAGATTTCACATGAACTATTTTTTCCTCATACGGTTTAAATATTTTTTCAAAATAACTTGAAAAACTCTTGTTATAAATTATTAAATAACAATATATAAAATATATTTTAAATTAAGTTAAAGTAGAAAACAAACTATTTTTCAATACCATTAAACAAAAAACTTTGAAGAGATGAAATAAAATAATAATCCAAAAAAAACTTAAATTTACCCAAAAAACCCATTGGACCAGAGTTTTTTTAAAAAACCACAGGTTTTTGCCAACCCTGCTTTAAGTCTTTATAAATTCAGTGCAAGATTGTGCACATCCTGCTTTACTGTTGAGCTGGTTCTTCTTGAGTTTTAAATATCTTTAATATATTTTGCTATATTTCTTTGCAGTGTGACAGGCCCAATAATTATATTGATCTTAGCAACAAAGTACACCTAATAGTACCAAAGTGACTGATCCAAGATTTTTTGGTGTTTGAGATAGTTAACTTCCAGACATGGAGCAATCTCTAAACTTTTGTATGGTTATACTTATGTCAAATAATAATGCTTTGCAAAAAAATTGTGATGGTTACAGACTAAGAACAAGGCCCTTTGACTTCAACCCCCACCACCCCACCCCACACCAAATGCAAGAGGCAACAAGTTGATAAATTTTCCTTTTTTACTTTTCTCAACTAGACTTATATTTAATGATAGATTTTAAGTTCATAGTAGTAATAATAAAATTATTACTATTAAAAACTATTACTTGTATGAAAATTATTACTATTAAAAATTTTTAAAATAATAAAGACTTTTTAAGTACTTAAAAATTTTTAAGTTCATTGTAGTAACAGTATGACACTTCAGTAATAATTTTGTATGTTAAAAAGTTACATAAAAAATTTTTGAAGATATTTGTAGCAAAAAATATACTTATCAGAAAATTTATTTCTGATAAGTATATTTTTCAACAAATATAATTTTTTATGAAACTTTATATTAAACTAAACTTGTTTCTCAATGTAGTTAAAAATGTTAAATAAAAATGGTTCTTTGTAGGTATAGGATCAGTTTGAACTAACTGAATTAAAAACTATAAATTGAAAATGAAGTTGTTGCTAAGTGGACAAGATATAAGATGCTTATTTTGAGCACTGGGAGCCATTCTTTTTATTCAAGAAAATGCTTGCTCGCTACTAGGAAGACATCTTAACTGGTTTACCAATCAAAAAATGTTTCTTGGTACTTACCCTTCTTTTCTTAACAAAATTCTTATACATTTTAGAATTTTTAGACTATAAAAAAACCTGTCACAAATCTTCATTTAAAAAAAATTGCATTAAATACATTAAAAAAACTAATTAAACACTGTTATTAATTATTAATTATATTAACTAAATATAAACAATTTTACAAATGATTTTCATATAAAAATCAAGAATAAAAATAATTTTAAACTATAACAAATGAAAACTTAAAATATTGATTTTGATGTATAAAAAAAATTAAATTAATAAATATGATGTCAGTAAGTGTAAGAAACCATGTAATAACTTCTTTATGTGTGCCATATACAACATTTATTAGTTTTTGATTGTCTTGCATATAAAAATGTGACTTTTAAACCCCCCTCAATTTGAGTGGGCTACAAACATTATATGGTCATAATTTTTGAACGCTGAAAGATAATACTATGAAAGTTAATGATGAATATAAGTCTAATTGAGAATAGTACAAAAAAATTTTTAAACTTGTTGCCCCTCACACTTGGGGTGGGGTAGGGTGGCAATTGTCCTAGTAAATTTCTGCATGTTTCTCGCATTGTTGAAATAACAACAAAATATTGTAATTTTATCGTTTGAAAACTAAGTTTATAAAAAGATTAAATTAAACATTTAACTAATTTGTATAAAAGCTGATAGTCTAGAGAATAAAATAAGCAAAAAAGTTTTGAGTCTGGCCAAAAGAAGAGCTTACTTATTACATCCATAAATTAGGTAATGCAAAATTTCACAATAAACAAAACAAAAAAAGATCAAATGTTTACCCTCTCAGAGCCTTAATTAAAACAATTAATCAAAATAGGAAATTAAGTTAAATAAAAATCACAGAGTAAGTGTTAATATCTCCTTCTTCTATTCTTATAATATTTTTTGCGCTGCATAATTTATGGATGATCCCTTAACTTACATAACATGGAAAACAAAGTAAAAAAATTGCTTTAACTTCTAGATTTTTAGTTTTTTTTCCCTTAGTTTTTTTTTGCAAACTAATTGAATACAAGTGTCGATATCAAATTAATTAAAACTTATATTGTTGTTTTGTTTTGATTTCTTTAATATCCTAAATATATATAGAAATATACTAAAGAAATATACTAAAATATTTATCTAAATAAATATTGATTGAAAATTGGAAAAAAACACAAAGATTGTTGCATCTAACAAGAGTTAAATGCAACAATCTTTGAAAACACCTCGGTGCTACTTAGTTTCCACTCCTTTTTCTTAGAAAAACTTGCTACGTAAATTAATTTTTTTTAGAAATATAAGTAAAACAATTTTGAAAATATTTTGAACTGTTTCATTTCTTGAGCAGAAAAAGAAACATTTATATCCGGTTTCTTGATGTGAAAACTATCTGAGATTCTGCATGTTTCTGGCGTTGTACAAATGACTTTGTCAAAAAAAGCAAAAACAATCTTATTTTATTATTTTTGCTAAAAAATTTGATTAACAAACATGCGTATGAATATTGAGCAGGGATATCGAAAGAACAGCCATTTTACTTTGGGATCCAGTGTCCGAACAATAACCAGAGGCAAAAAAAAAAGGTTTTGCAAAAAGGTATTTCTTAGAAAAAATCTTTTAAAACTAGAAAACCTTTTGGTGTATAAGGGTTTTCTGACAGGATTTTATTAGAAAACTCTTTTGTTAAGGTTTGTAAAATTTATTTTTTCAGTAGTATAACCATGTCTAAATATTTTAACACCAAAATGAAAGCAAAAAATAATATATGAATATTAACCAAAAGTAAAAACTTAAAAAAAAATTACCTTTGGTTGTTTTTAAATTGAAATGTTTACTGGTGCGGTGTATCAGGATTAACCCAATGATGGGAGTGGTTAATCAACTAAACAAAACTTTCTTTTTTGATATTTTTCTTAGACAACAACTGGGAGTTCTACTTCTAAATTCTACTCTAGTTCTAGTTCTAAATTTTAGTCAAACAGACATACGTTACTTATAAGGTGCATAGAAATACACGTGCCTGACATGTCCGCTGTTTTTTATACTTATTTGTATACTTATTGTTACTGCTAACATTTTAAATTTCTAGTTTGTTTTTTGCTTGTTAGAAGATGAAATTTTTTATGAAAATCCTATATTTAAAAAAAAACATATTTTGTGGTGTTAGTTTTTAGAAATATATAAAAGTTTAGATTATTTTTGATCAAAGTTCAAGCTTGATTTTTATGTGAATAAAGTATTCACATAAAAATGTATGCTTGCAGACTTTGTAATGACTTTATTGTTATTGAAAAATTACAAGTAACCTGCCAATAGGGTTACCAATGTATTTCTTTACCCATAGGAGAACACAAATCAAATTATATAATCAGATGTTTTAAATTCGATTTTTTGACAAAATAAACAATTGCTTTACTTAATGCAAAGGATAATGTTCATTTGTGCGTATTTGGACACAGAACCTTTAAAAAAAATGCTTATATTTGAATAATTAAATTAAATTAAAGTTGAATTGATAAAAACAAAAACTTTCAGTGTAAACAGACTTTAAAAATCGTCAACCTAGTTTTCGAAAATGAGCTTTTGGTTTATTTCTCACCAAAATATAAAACTTATATTTATCAAATCTCATTAAAATTATAATGAAACAGCTGTTAGAAATTTGACCATAAGTCACCCTAGAATTAAATAGTTTTATGCGTGTTTTGTAAAGATTGGTTTGGATTTATAAATTGAAATTTTTTATAAATAGTACTTTAATTTTAATTATTCAAATATTTAAAAATTATTCTAACATAAAAAAAAATTCCAATCATACTCCTTTTATTAAAACTTCCCTATTTATTAGATCAGGATTAAAATTCCCAATCCTTTTTTTATTACCACCTTCTCCCCTTGTAATAAAGACACAAGAGTATCTACTTTGTTTAAAACGTTGTATTTCTTTAATGTTATAAAATTTTAATAAGGTACTGAAGTACAACAATTATCATCGTTTAACTTAGTGTACTTGAAATCTTTTGACTAGATAGCCAACATACTTGAGGATCTTTTAATAGATCAAAATATTTTTTACTATGTATTAAACAAAATGTAATAAACCAAATTCACAACTTAATGCTTTCAAGAACATTAAATCTTCTTTGGTCAAAAAAAGAATATGTTTGTATATGTAGGGAGTTTAGAAAACATATTTTTTGAATTTAAAAAATAGAACTAAATTAAATCTAGAATTGAAGCATATATGTTTAACTTAAATCCCAAAAAATTTGAGCTCCATTAAATCACTCTTTGAAGAGCATATTTGGAAAAAAAATTTAAGTATCTTGAGGCCAAGACTGACATAAATAATTTTATACTTTTTTTTCTAGGACAAAAATATCTTAATTCTTAAATAGTTTACATTTTAAATCGACTGAAACTTAGTTTTTTTATTTAATTTAGTTTAGATTTAAATTTAGTTATTTTTTAGTCATTACATAACTATTATTATTATATTAAATTGCAATGAAAATGTATAAGGAAATAAGAAACCCATGTGAATTGGGCAAAAAATCTAAGCCGAGACCTAATAAAAAAAGAAATTATTATTATCACGAAAAATTTAGGTAATTTATACTTTTAAGTAACTTACTTTAAAAAATTAGATATAATATTTTTAAGTAAGTTAACTTTTTTCATCTCTCTCTTCTTTCTTTCTCATATAGAGAAAAAAAGAAGAAAGAGAGATGAAAAAAGTTTAATTTAAATAATTTTAATAAAAAACTTGTATCTAGAGATTCAATTATAAACATACTTTGATATTAATTTAGTTATAACTAAATTTAAGTTGAAGAAGGTTAAGAAACCTTGGATAAACATGAGATTTGATATTGTTAATGATGTTAGTTCTCACAAAATTAA